AGAGGGAGGGAGGGAGGGAGGGAGGGAGGGCTTATTCGAACTGTATCATATCCCTATCATCCCCATCTCACAGACTGGGAAATACGTCCTTCCCAAGTCTAGCCAGGCAGTTAGTTAGAAGACTAGAACCCAGTCTTCCTTCTCCCAGCCCAGCACTCTCCCTGCTGGTATAAGGATTAAGTGGAGGTCAAGCTGGTTAAGGGTGGCTGCTCGGAGGCGGTGTGGCCCTGGCTGTTGGAGGTGAGAATGGTGTCTGAAACGTAATTAGTGCTTCTGCCTCCACAGCCTCCTGGATGGAGCTGAGGCTTCTGCCTTCTCTCGCAAACCAGTCACACGCCAAATTGGCTGAATGCTTGATTCATTGAAAAAACAATTCATGGAATTTCTGAGGATGGTTTTTCGGAGCTGAGCTTTGCCAAGGCTGCCCCCGCAGCTGTTGGGTGCTGAGGTGGATGTCATTTTCCCTCCATGCACATTTTCAGGGGCCAAGTGTGCACCTCTGGCTAGTGTATGGCCAAGATGTTGGTGGATTTGGGCCCCGGCCCTTTGCCTGCCTCTGGGACAACCAGTCCTACTCCTGCTTTAAGATACTTTTATCTGACAGCGTGTTAGTCATACTGCAAATCTACCATCTAGAGGATCTGCTTTGGGTGAACTGATTTTCAGTGTTGGAGGAGTTGGCCCGGGCTGTGCCCTGCCCACACTCCCACCCCGTTTTTCCCAGGTGCCATTGGCTTGTCCTGGACCTTCCTGCTCTACGGGCTGACTGCTGTCTTCGGCCTGGGCTTCATCTATTTATTTGTCCCCGAAACAAAAGGCCAGTCGTTGACAGAGATAGACCAGCAATTCCAGAAGAGACGGTAAGGGGGCCAGGGCTAGCCTGGGGGGAAGGGTGGCATCAAACCCTGAGCGCTTTGCTTCAGGATTTTAGTCATTACACTTTCCCTTTGCAAAGGAGCATTTTTCTTCTCTTCCTGGTGTTCTTACTGCCTGGATACAGTGAGTTTTGTCCTGTCTTCATACATGAACTCTTTTCCTTGAGTTGTTTTGTGTCTTCCTACAGCAGAGTTTTATTTGACTTTGAGCTCAGCTCACAGGAATTTAAAAATCATGCAGTTATGGACTCATAGGAGGTTAGAATAGTTAGATCCTAAAACCACAGAATCTTAGAGTCATGGAAGCTCGGAGAAACAAAATATTGTAATCATGGCCTTTTGAATCACACACGAAGAACTCTGAGCATAATCTACTCATTTGGTGATTAGATTAGATAGATTATTATAATTACTCATTCAGTGAGTAATGTGCCACACAGTGTTCGGGGTGTAGGAAATGTGTCTGAAAATAAGAGAAGGTCCTTGTCCTCACGGAACTTCCATTCTAGTAGGGGAGGGGAACAGGAAACAAATAAGCCAGTGAATGCAGCAACAAAAGCATTTCAGTGAGTGATGAGTAAGTAGCTGGAAGAAAAGGAAACAGAGCAAAATATATTGAGAGGGTCTGGTTGGTGGAGAGGGAGACAGAGGGGCACAGGGTTGTGGCTAAATCAGAGTGGGTGGTCAGAGAGGGATGCCCTGAGTAGGTACCATTTAAGTGAGTGAGAAGGAGGCAGCCATGTAAATATGAGGCAGGGCGAGGCTTCCAGGTAGAGGGAACAGCAGGTGCAAAGACCCTGAGGTTGGGAGTGTATCTGGCATATGCAAGGAACAACAAGGAAGCCCGTGTAGCTGGATCAGAGAGAGCAAGGAGGGAAGAGAGAAGGAGAGATCAGATTGGCCAAGTGGGCAGGAGCTAGATCACATGAGGTCTGTAGGTCCTAGACAGGAGTTCAAAATCTTAGCATCAGGGACCTTGGGCTGTTGAAATAAAGAGCACTGCGGGGGGGGGGGGGGGGTGCCACAGGGGCCGGGACCTGAAACCACCATAATCCTAAGCATCCTTGGCAAATGCCCCAAGTTGCCTCTTGTCCTAAAGGGAGTCACCAGCGTCTGACTGCCCATTCTATTCCTGGGAGGTCCTAACAAATTAAAACGGTAAATCATTCTAATGGTGAGTTGGAACTTGCCTCCCTGCAGCTTCCTGCCAAGCCCCAACCCGGCCCCCAAAGGGATGCAGAACGAGTCCATGTAAAACTTCAAACCTGGTCCACCGCACCCCAGAGTGTTCTCTGCCAGCCGCACACTCCCAGTTTGTTGCATGACACCTTCTGCGGGGCCCTCAGCAGTCCAGCCATATTAGTTAGGAGACAGATTTGGCTGCTTGGAGTAGTCTGAATATAGGGGGCCCGGGGCTGGCATTGAAGCTGTGCTTCAAGAGGTCATCCAGGGTCCCAGGCTCCTTCTCTCTTGTTGCTCTGCCATCTCTTCAGTATAAACTTTTCCACGTGGCCCGTGGGAGCCACCACCTCCCTGAAAGAGGGAAGGGGAAGAGGAGGACACACAACCTGAAAGATCCACACGTCACTTCCACCTACACACACGTCACTTCCACCTACAACCCTTTGGACGGAACGTGGCCACATCCACCTGCAGGGGCGGCTGAAAAACATGGTCTTTAATCTGGGTGCCATGTGCTCACCTAAAAATCGAGGGTGCTGTTACTAGACATAAAGGGGGGACAGATACTAGGAGCCACCTGGAATCTCTGCCATACCGGCTTTCTTGGGAGAAGGTTCCAGACCCCTCCTCTGGAATAAGAAGCTAAGGAGGCAGAAAGGCAGGCAGAAGCCAGTTTTAGGGTGAGGCAGGAGGGAATTGCAGCTCAGGGTAACACTGAGCTGGACCTGGGGACTAGGAAGCCTGGGCCAGACCTTGGGGAAAGCAGGCTGGATCTTCTGAAGCTTCAGGAAAAGACAGGAAGTCAGGGGCTTTGGCTGCGTCTGGAGCCAACTTCGGCTGGGTGAGTCATCACTCCAGTCCTTACCGTTCAGGGGGCCCCCTGATATCAGAGGCCACAGAGAGAGAAAGAAACTCAGCCGTGGGGGGCATGGGGACACGGGAAGAAGCTCCAGAGATCTTGCAAGCAAAGCACTAATGGGACCCTCCTTCCAGCACCCACTGTTCTTAGTGCTGTGTGGCTCCCTACAAGAATCACATCCCCAGGAGAAAGTCTGATTGGCTAAGCCTGGTTTATGTGCCCACCCCCCTAACCCCCAAATTGGCCAGGATAGGGCAAGCCGCCTCTATTGACAGTCCTACGAAGATCACATGCAACAGAGGAGACCTAGAGCCCCAAGGAGACGCGAGGATGGAGGCTGGATGGAGCCACCATCCACTGCTGTGGGGTTTACTTCGATTCGTGTCCTCATGCCGCAGATGTGCTTGTTGGAAATGGGGACCTGCAGCTTAACGGTCTGTTTCCTCTGCTCCTTTAGAGAGACATTAGCAACCGAGGGGCTCAGACGCCCTTGCCATCAGTGGCCACTGAGTGCCATAAGCATGTTCCTTTCCCTTTCACATCAGGTTACTTGGGTTCAGAAGAGACCTTTCCATTCCCAGGGTGACATGATCACCAAAAGAGCTTTCAAAAATCTTTTATCCCAATTTCTCAGGAATCCGTTCATTCACTTTCAGCAAATATTTCCAAGTGCCAGCTAGGAGCCAGGCACTGTACTAGGCTCACGGGACAGACCTGTGACCAAGAGACACCGTGTCTCTGGACCGAGGAGGAAGTTACATTTTAATGCAGAGGGGAGAGATGGATTACAGAACACCCAATGCAAGAATAAGATAAATGAGAGTGGGGTTTATATCATGAGGAAAATAAGGCAGGTTAACTGTCAGAGAGCGAACAGTGGATTTGGGGGCAGTGTGGAGCTTTCCATTTCTTCAGCTAGGGTCCAAGCGTACCGTGGGTACATTAATGACGCAAGTTGATCGTGAGCTCTTCATGACTTTGAAGGACATTTTTGTGTACCTGTTATGTTCACTGCTCTATTCCCAGGGCCTAGAACAGTGCTTGGCCCATGACAGGCCAGCAGTGACTCTAGCTCTAGTGAATGAATGAAAGGATGCTCAACAAAGGCCTCTGCGAAGAGGTGGCAATTGAGCTGAGACCTGAATAATGAGAAAAAGCCATCTTTTCCAAGAGCTGGAAGAGAGTGTTCTAGGCAGAGGGAACAGCCAGAGCAAAGGCCCCGAGGTGGGAACAAGATGGGGGTTTTGAAGAGCGAGAAGGAGACCCATGTGGCCGGGGTGGAATGGGAAGATGGGACTGGAGGGCGGTGACACGGGAGAGGCCGGCTGCAGAGAGGGGCTTGGACATGAGGCTGAGCGTGACGTCACTTCTCAGCAGGAGTGACAGGAGTTGGTCTTCGTGCTTAGAAAGGTCAGTCCTGTGATTAGGAGAACCGGCTGTAGGAGGCGTGGGTGGACACAGGAAGACCGGGGGGAGTGGCTGGGTGGTCCAGAAGATGGAAATGTGCATTAAGGCAGGAAGCAGGAAGGGTCAGGTAGGAGTGGGGTGGGGATGGGATGGGGATCCCATGTATGGTCCACTCCCATCACCCCCAGGGAAGGCCACCAGGCCCCGTCACCCTCTGACCCCACTTACTCTCTGCTCTCCAGGTTCGCCCTGAGCTTTGGCCACAGGCAGAGCTCGGCTGGCATCCAGTACAGCCGAATTGAGGTCTCTGCGGCCTCCTGAGGAGTCCATCTGGAAAATGCTGGAACCATGGCTTTCTCAGACAGTCTTCAGCTTCCTGCTTGCCTGGGTGCCAGAGCACAAGTTCTAGGTGGTCCTTCAAGAGGCGCCCCTGCTCCAGAAGAGGCCTGTTTTGCTGGGGCAAAAGGGATGAAAATCTGAGAACTCAAAAGCCTTCAGGTGGAGCCTCAGGCTCTGAGGGTTCCTGAGGCTCTGCCTTCCTGCCTCAGTTTCCCCACTGACTCTACGCATCTCTGCAGTAATGAACTTATGATGAGAACATCTTATGGAGACTTCGTTGCTCTATGGGCTTTCTCAAAGAATCTCAAGGGTACCACCCTGGCAGGAAGTCTCTCCTGGAATCATCCCTAAATCTAGCTGAGGATACCATATTCTCTGCTCTCTTTTTCCATCTGGTTGGGACTTTCTGGGGAGGGGGAAGCCTGCTTTTTGGCTCTCAGATCTCGTTTTGTTCAACCCCTCTAATTCTCTTACCTGGAATATTTGTCATTCACCAGCAACTCAGATGGTTGGTAGGAGTTCTAGTCCTGAGCTCAAGGCCTGAGGCTGCTGCTGTTCTTGCTGCCTGACTGGGGATCTCAGCTTTCCCTGTATGTACAATGGGAGCTCTGAACCAGGTGGTTCTTAAGATCTCTTCTGATGCCAATGAGCTGGAATTCTAAGTGCTGGCAATACCACAGATATTCAGCATGGGTCCTGCTCTCAAGTTGCTAGTCATCTCTTTCAGGGATATAGATTTTAATTAGGGGAAAGGTGAACAGAATTCCAGAGTTGTGTGCACTAAAATCCAAGGACCATCATAGTGCAGGTCACGAGCTCCAGGAGCTGTTTCCAGGATGGTGCAGGAGGACTTTGCAGAAAGGAGATGGGTCTGGAAGCTAACAAACCTGGTTGTCGGTGTGGCCTCCACCTCTTGGCAGCTAGTGACCCTGGATAAGTAACAACTCCCTTAAGCCTCAGTTTCCACATCTACAGAATGGGGATGACTATGCCCCCAGGGGTGTATTTAACCTCTGTGTCCCATCAGGAGGGTCTTCATTTGGTCCCATTCAGCTGGTCAGGATGGACGGGATTTCTGCTCACCCTCAATACCCAGGTCCCCATGTTTGGGACGTTGTAAAGGGTCACCCCCCCACAAGGGGTGAGTCAGACGGAGACTGAGCAAGTAGCTCCTCTCCCACAGGACTCTGGCCTCCCCTGAGTCCTTGTCTCTCATTTCTAGATACTTCCCTTAGATCCAGTGGTGTGTTGGAGCTGGCTTGTGCTGGCTTGTGAGAGCTGATTGTTAAATTTTCAGTTTTGCAAGCTCGTTGTTAAACACAGCTGCTAAAAAATTAAATTATTTAAATTTATACTTAAATAAATTATATTAAAACTGAGGTAATACATACTAAAAACTCATCACTTCCTTATTTTACTACATTTTGCTCTCATCTGTGCTCTTAAGGTAATTTACACCTATTGCCTCGCATGAGGAACGTGGGGTAAGGGCACTGCCCATCCCTTGCAGGGTCTGCCTTCAGTGACCCACGGGGAGTGTATTTGCACCACAGGGACTGGGGAACACCACAGATCAGGACTTGATTTGTCGTTTTGTTGATTGTCCAGTCTTAAGAATGTGATGGATACAATGTTAATAATGTAAATTAAACTTAACAGTGTGTTCTGTCTGTAGTCGATACATTGTGAACGGCACAAAAAATGGAGGGGATTATTATCCAGTTCAGCCAACAGGTGACTCATGTCACTGGTGAAGGAGTTTGGACACAAGTCTTTGTTGTTTTACTTTCGTCTTATTCATTAACACGAACAAACATTTCAACTAGCATTCATGTCAGAACTGCATTCATGCTTCAGTGACGTCAGCAACTTCTTTGCTGAGTCATATTGTTGTCAAGCATTTCTTCGTGGTCTAATTTTGTTAAATCATGGCTAAATTGCAGTGACCGTTGGCTTTGGAATCAAGAGGTTGGCAGAAAAATCAACAAAAACATTTCTGTGAGAATTAATTGGCTAGATGGCATTTATAATAAAGAGTATTTACAATAAAGTATTATTATTTGTAAATTTGTCAATTTTGTGCAAGAAACACATCCTTTATTCCAGTAAAATTTACACACACACACACACACACACACACACACACACACATTTTTTCCCTGGAGAGCAGTTATTAAACATTTACCAGCCCATCACTGCTTACAGCTGTCCTTTTGGCCCCTTCAGATCTAATTCTCTACTCAGGGATCCCCAAACTTTCTCAGTTCTCCTTTCCTATCAGCCTAGGAGAATGCTCTTCTAGTCTTAGGGTGGTTTCTCCTCTTTTTTGTTCAGGGTCATAAACTCATAGATCAGGTGGGGGATGTAGGTGAGTGAAGTCCACTGTGGTAAGACAATAGGGAGTAGTGAGGTCTGTGGAAACAGGTGAACACAGGCCTCTCTATCAGGGATGACTGACACTCAAGTCCAGCTGGTGCCTGCCATGAAGGAATGTGGGCCCACTGTGGCCTGACCATCTGAATTTTCAAAAAAAAAATCCAGTAATTCAGACTTTGATGTAAAATTTCCTGATTTTTTAATAGTGGCAATTGATTCTTTTTTTTTTTTTTTTTTTTGCAGTCCGGGGGCCTCTCGCTGTTGTAGCCTCTCCCGTTGCGGAGCACAGGCTCCGGACGCGCAGGCTCAGCGGCCATGGCTCACGGGCCCAGCCGCTCCGCGGCATGTGGGATCTTCCCGGACCGGGGCACGAACCCGCGTCCCCTGCAATGGCAGGCGGACTCTCAACCACTGCGCCACGGGAAGCCCGTGGCAATTGATTCTTAATTGAAAAAATCATTTTTTAAGCTCAACTCACACCTGTGGCTAAATCACAGCCTTTAGTTTGTGCCTCAGTTCTTGATGGCCTCTGAGATATTCTTTTCTTCTGGGTTTTTGAGGATCCCAGCTTAAATCAGAGCAAAGCAAGCAGCCAAGTAGCCGAGTAGCAAAGCAGCTTGAATTGAATAGGTGGGAGGGGTGTTACTGAACATGAAGGGAAAGAGACATGAAGGGGAAAATGGTTGAAATCTCAAACATATTACCCTGGGACAACTAGGTGTGTGACTTGAGTAACTGCTCATCTGTATAATGGGGACGATACTACTCACTATACAGAGATGATACCTGTCAATCACTAGTTCAGGGCTGGGCTCATCGCAGGTGCTCAAAAATGGCTGAGTAAGTGCCCCAGCAGCCTCCAGGGGCATCTGGCCCTGGGTGGGGAGAACAGTGAGGGCAGTTCAGAAAGGGGAAGAGCATCAGAGAAATCTACAATTTGAGGGTACCTACTAGGTGGTCAGACATTGTGAGCACCAACCAGAAAAGTGATGTGATCTGTTCATTGATCTGCAGGGTGGGGACTGGGTAGCTCTCCTTCTCCCAGATAATCCCAGAACCACTTCAGGGAAGCCTTTCCCGTGTGTGCCCATCACCTAGCACCTTCCTGTAGTTTCTCACGTTGCACTACACAGACTACTTACCGAACGCTTTAAAGTGATTTGCTTTTCAACTCAAATAGATGGATTTTAAAAGGAAACTATATTAATTTATTTTTTCACTCAGATGCATATTTATTGTGTTTCTACTGTGTGCTGGACACTGTTCTAGACCCTGAGGGCACAGCAGGGAACAAGACAAAGAGCGGTCATGTTAGTGGGGGAGATAGATTGCAAACAAGAGCTAGAAATGGGGTGGGTGGAGAGAGAGGGGGAGGAAGGGGAGGGAAGGAGGGAGGGAAAGATGAAAGAAGGAAAGGAGGGAGGGGGGAGGGGGGAAGGGGGAAGGAAGGAAGGAGAGAAAAAGAGAGAGAGAGATGCACGTCAGTTAGTGATGATTATCAGAGAGAACCCCTTTTAGGTGGTGGCGCCTGAGCACAGATCTATATGATCTAGAGGAAGCCATGGAAGGATCTGGGGCAAAAGTATCCCGGGCAGCTGGCCCAGCATGTGCAAAGGCCCTGAGGTAAGACTGAGATTCCATCTTGGAGGAATGCCAAGGAGGAGCGAGTGGAGGGTAGAGTGATGGCAGAAGACAAGGGGGAAGTCAGCAGGGTTCAGGTCATGAAAAGCTTCCAGAAGACAGAAGCATTTCAGACTTTTTTCTAAGCATACCAGGAAGCCACCGCAGAACTTTGAACAGTGGACTGACACGATCAGACTTAATGTTGTCAAATACCCTTTGTTGGTGATGTTTGTGAGTACCAAAAAAAAAAAAAAAGAATGTCAATAACAAGTAGAAAGAAACCCAGTTTCACTGAATTCTTACGAAATACTGTCATCTACTGAGGGCTCTGAACTTAAGGCCTCCTCTGTGGTGAAAAAGGGGGCTTAGCAAGTGTGAGAGAGGTGTAGCACCGACCTAAGATTGTGTCTGGATTGAAAGAACAGTGGTGTGATTCAGCACATTTATATGATGTTTGTGAACCAGCTAAAATCATTTCCAGTGCCACGGGCGATATGCTTCTCAGTCTTTGGTTAATGCAGTGCTACGGTGAGATGATCAAGGAAGTCATAAGCACCAAGAAAGAGACAGGGGGCCTCAGTTACTCTCACATCAGACCCTCCTGGAGAGGAGCGTTGGCAGTGTCAGCCCGGAACCAGTGAGACACCAGCGAGGTCCCCACAACAAGTGTCCTTCAAGGAGGAGTGAAGGGATGGGGGGATGGGTTCCTCCAGGAGAGGAGCAGGCTGTGTACACCCACTTAGCATCTGCCTGCTGCTTCCAAGGGGCTGGCCTTTCATGGGACGAGATGTGAAACCAAACACAGCCTATGCCTGAGGTCATGGGTCATCAGACCTGGAAAGGAAATCTCCACCCCTACTTTGCAGGTTAGGAAACCAAGGCTTACAAGGCTGACGACTGACCCTCTCCTCTCCAGCTCCCGCATCCGCTTGGATGACCCCTCATCAGCACAGCTCTGCCAGGCTCTGTACCTGCCATCCCAGTGGCCTCCTGCTGCACTTTACCTGCTCCATCCTGAACACGGTCAACCTCAAACACTACTCACCCTTAATATTTTATATCAAACATCCCACTTCCTGGTCACCACGTACTAACTTTTCTCCTAATACTCGAATGCTCCCCAAGGCAATAATTCTCTGACCTCACTGAGATCTTTCACCTCTAAATGCAGATCCCTGACCCCAGGGATTTTGCTTTACCAAAATCCGTCAAGAAGTTCGTGGGCTTCATTCTCCTTCTTGTCCAATCTAGACCCCAGATCCCAACCTTAGAATCAACCCCTGCAAACACCCTCTTGTAGATTAGTCACACTAATGCTGGATTAATGTACACACCTGCTTCACGTAGGCAGAAAGGTCAGACAGCCTGACAAACAGGTTTCACCTGAAACCCAGGAACTCGAACCTCATACTCACCCTCCAAATGCTCCTTCTTCACAGCAAAGGAAATACTCAGTAAGTTGAAAAGGCAAACCTACAGAATGGAAGAAAATATTTGTAAACCATAAACCTGATAAGGGGTTAATCTCCAAAATATATAAAGAACTCAAACAACTCTATAGCAAGAAAGCAA